GGACAATTCCACCATATAAAATCAGGAAAATTCAGTGTGGAACTTAAACGTTTGCACTATCCCTTGAGAAAACAGCCAACGTGATCTTTTTTGCAGGTTTCGATAATATACTTTGAAACCAACGGTCTCGGAGAAGAGGTCTTGGACAGTTATAAAAACATGGAGCACAAAGCCATAAAGATGACGAGGTTGGTGATTAAGAACAGGAACTACTGCAGTCACGCGCATTGCATTAAAACAGGGGTGGCGAAGGACGACAAAAAGAAGAAACAATAGTTACACGATGACTAAAGGAAGGTCAACACTTTAAATCCTGTTTTATTTACCGCATGACCGAAAGAATTGCTCCTCAAATAAAACAAAACACTGTTAATGTTGTAAAATCGACCATCCTAGTCAATTATTTATAATTAACTATCTGTTTAAATTCAGTAGACATGGGTAGGTTGTGACTAATGATAGAATCAATACTCAATTCCAAGCAGGTCAATTGTTATCCCTCCCCCAAAAAAGAATAAAGACATAATTATCCATGTTCAGATGAATATATTTAACAACAACAAACAAAAATAAAAATTATTTCAAAAGGCAGAAAGAAATTTATTGCTATTCCAGTAGTTTAGCCCTTTGACCTGTTGTTTGACATGAGGGGTTCCTGACTATATATCCTTCCAAGTGCGCATCATTTCGTACATGTCAGGTCAAAGAAAGAGTACATGATTTGGATGAACCATATATAGAAACAAAACTGGATCTAGAGATTTCCTCGTAATCTTTTTATATGAGCTGTTTATTATCATAATGCATAACTTTCCTAAATTCCATACTACCTTAAAAAATTAATTTTAGCAACCTAAGTAAAAGTATACCTAAAATATGTGGAAGAAGCTTGATTCATCGGTATGGGGGACATAATTCGTGGTTATTTTGACCGTGTTCGGTATTTCATTTGGCTTTAACAAAAATAACCTTTACAAATGCAAATGTAACTTTACCACATTCTTTTTTTGTCTCGGTATAACATGTTCAATAATCAGCACACGGAGACATATTTTAAGCTTTAATGGGCGTGGGAAGTGGATGATAGGTATAAAGTGTAGTACAAAACATGTATTAAGTATTGTTGGCTCTATCTGATGAACTCATTCAAAGAGTGTAGTCACCTATATTGTGATAAATGAGTCAATGTCTGTGGTCATTTGCATGTTTTTATTGCGGATCCATAATTACAATACGCTTTCGAGGTTGACCCATCTCATCGCTTTAGTTCAGTCCTACGGCTGCAACAGACTAATTTAGAAACATAAGAGCTACAGTAATGAAATCCAAATTTAATCAGGCTTATTGTGTACATATCTATTGGATTGCATATTTCGGAACAATATTAACCAAGGTTTTGTTGATTGATGTAGTGTTTTCCACGTGACTAGAATCCTTTATCTGCAGCATCTGGATCTATTGGATGATAAATTGTTGACCTTGGACTTGATAATCTTATCAGGAATTCCACACCGATAATTCCATTCCGTGCTGTCCGTAGTATCATATGGATGTAAGAATTATGTGTACGGACGACAAAAACTCCAACTGAAATTTACGTGTCGAACCTAGGTGAAATATTGATACTAAGGTGAGTGTTTTACATGTATATTTTTTTCCTAATTTTAATTTTTATGAGATTTGTACCTTAGGGCTACGAGAATTGATAACCACTATTGTCTCAAATTATTTGCTCCATAATATCATCATCGATAGTAGTATATGGCTTGTATAGATATACTTGCAAACATCGATAGTAGTATATGGCTTGTATAGATATCCTTGCAAACATCGATAGTAGTATATGGCTTGTATATATATCCTTGCAAACTTCTGTTCAATGCCAACCATTTAGGAGAAACGGGATTTCCATATTCGTATTAATAATCTATGGGATGACTACTAAGACGCATTGCATGACCATTGTGTGACCGGATATATTTACCAATTGACTGTATACAGTTCTTTTTAGTGAAAGGCCTCTAAAACAAGATTCAGTAATTAGTTAACTGAGTCTATTTTCAACACTTTATATTAAATACCATCAAACAATATGCAGGTCGACTACTAGCGTTGATCCACGTATATAAGCACAGATACAATTACATTTACCAATGTGGTGCTGGATTATTCCTCAGAATATCTAACGGTTTAGTGGGTTAAGTTATATATGTTATCAGCACATCAAGTCGCATTCATTACCATGTCAATCATTTCAGGATGTTTGTTTACTAGTGTTATTTCAGGTGTATAACATGGCTAGGAAACACATGACCTCCATTCCAAGAACTCTTGTCCTTTTTGAATCACGTGATATTTACTTTCACTTATTACTTCGACTTGACCTTGAAACTTAAGAACAAAATATCGTGAAACATCGTAAGCACTATACATGACTCATCTTTAAAGTACACATATTAGCATTATATATATAGTATCAGTAGAGTACGAATTTAATTTCTCCAACCTGTATGATAGTATTGTTTGTATTAAACTATTATTTCTGCCCACTATTATCAAGATTCTACAACAGAATCCAGGGATAGCACAGTCTGTTCTGTCTGGTATATATTTATAATTATTTGTAATACAAAAATGCTATATACCTTGATTTCTTTAATAGGAATCTGGAACGACTGTGTGTATATATGATAATTAATTACTAGGTCGTCATGCGAGTGTGTCTGCTACGCACGAGCTTATATAACAACGATTCAGTGCCATCATTTATTTGGTGATGCGTGCTTAGTCGTGACAGTATATGGGCTGGTGCGTGCAGGCAAGGCGATGGGTGCCATTTACTCGCGGAACTGGGTTCGAAACTCAGTAGAGTACGAATTTAATTTCTCTAACCTGTATGATAGTATTGTTTGTATTAAACTATATATATATATATATATATATATATATATATATATATATATATATATATATATGCGTGTGTGTAATATTACTATATAATTAGTAATATACCTTTGTAAACTTAAATAGCAATTTAGCATATTAAAGTGCAAAGTGTATTGAAAGTAGTACAACAAGAATGTAATTAAAACACCTTTCAGTAGTAAAATTGATGAAATTCATTATTAAGGAATCTATTAAAGAGATTCGCCACATAGTAGTATCACAGTTCTGAAAGCTTCAACAGATTAATTTTGTGTTATGTATGAAAAAGAAAAACTTACTTTTACATGAAAAAAAAAAAACAAACGCTCAAAAAAAAAAATTTCTGTCATTCAAGTAACATCATCTTTTCACAATTTTCAGTTTCTCAATGATTTGTGTATTCTAACTAATTACTTCTCAGAAGGCAGAAAAGTAGCATACTCTGTGTGCATGTGTATACAATTACCAAAGTTCTTACAGTATGTAAGTATCCTACCCTGCATAATGTGTAAGTGTCAAAGATTGCCAGAGTTCATTGCACACACACACGCACACATGCACAAACGTACACATGCATACATACATACATACATACATACATACATACATACATACATACATACATACATACATACATACATACATACATACATACATACATACATACATACATACATATGCATGCATACCTACATACATACCTACATACATACATACATACATACATACATACATACATACATACATACATACATACATACATACATACATACATACATACATACATACATACATACATACATACATGCATACGCACGCACGCACGCAAGCACGCACGCACGCACACACACACACACACATACATACATACATACATACATACATACATACATACATACATACATACATACATACATACATACATACATACATACATACATACATACATACATACATATGCATGCATGCATGCATACCTACATACCTACATACATACATACCTACATACATACATACATACATACATACATACATACATACATACATACATACATACATACATACATACATACGTACGTACGTACGTACGTACGTGCGTGCGTGCGTGCGTGCGTACGTACGCACGCACGCACGCACACACACACACACACACACACACATACATACATACATACATACATACATACATACATACATACATACATACATACATACATGCATGCATGCATTATTGTGTCACACTTTTTGTATATAATGCATGTTTTGTTCCCCTAACTCGTTTCCTGAATTTCTCAAAAATGTTCCCTCCAGATTTTGGTAATTTATGAGAAAATGTCTTGGAATTTTAAAATGTTAATTCATTTTGCAATAATGTTATGATTTTATGGAATTTTCAATAGGTGACACGCGTGAGCTATTTCTGCACTCAGTCCCTCTTTAGCAGACTCAAATGCCTACTGAAAGATGCAAGCTCTTTTATCTAACTTATCTAGAGTTGGTTTTAGGAAAGCTAAATAGTATTCATGCTCCACAATTGTTTTTCCAGGTTCATTCTACTGATCTATGCATAAACAGTATAATAATCAATAATCATCAACCGTTTCATAGAAATCTTAATTGCTAAGAAGAATAATTTGTTTCTACATATTGACTGTAACATTATCAATGAGTTTTAAATTCTGCTAAAAGACCAACACTCTCAATATTGTCCGAACATGTGTTTTTTATTTGTCTGTCTATTGCGTAGCGTGAAACGTTTTGTTTCTCTCTTGTATATTATTATTGATGCCAAGTTTATTTTTGATCAATGCATTATTTGGCAATGCAATAATACAGCATTTGTCATGTCAGGAAAATATTGGCTTAACGGTATTTGAATAATAACACATATATTGTCCAACCTTCTCATCTATCAAAGAGGAAATTGAGTCAGAAGTTCCACCACAGCATCTTTGCCTAAAGATTTCAAAGTTATTATCTCCCGTCGTATGAAGAATCGATGATTATAATTTAGTTGTCTGTCCATTCCAATACTTTAGTGAGTTTATCTTTGGACACTGATTATGAATGTTTCTGACCTATTCTGTGGCCTAGTGGTTAGAGCGTCTGCCTCGAATGCGGGAGGTCATCGGTTCGATTCCAGGCCAAGTCATAACAAAGACTTATAACAATGGTAATAACAGCTGCCTCGCTTGACACTCAGCATTAAGAGGTTAGTGCTAGGACTGGTCGGCCTGCTGTCAGGATAATGTGACTGGATTCGACATCATGCTACATATCTGCGGCGTGATGCCCCATCGCTAGACATCATTATAAGCTGCCACACTGCTCACAACACAGCGATATGACTAAAAAAAATAAATTAAAGCTACGTTAAAATATCCAGATGACACACAAATCACACACATGGATTTTTCTCACATTTTGATGCAAAAATGAATCGTTTCTACAGATACCTTGAAGAGAACGAAAGAACCAATTTATTTCAAGTCATTTAAAAGTAATTTAATAAACGTTTTGGTTTGTGCCTGAGGATTACTATGTAAACGCGCATAATTATAATGCACATAATTATGATTATCAGGTATATGAGTATAATTATCATGAATATGAGTATAATTATAATAACTATCCATACAAGTATAATTATGATGGACATTATTATAATGTATCATGAAAATGTGTATAAGTATCATGGATATGAGTATAATTTTCATGGATATGATAATAAGTATCATGGATATGATTATAACTATCACGGATATTAGTAGAATTATTATGGGTATGACTTTAACTATCCTATATATAAGTATAGGTACCATGGATATGAGTATAAGTAGCATGTATATAATTACAATTATCATGAATATGAGTATAGTTACAATGAGTATGATTATAATTTATTATGGATATGAGTATAAGTACCATGAATATGAGTATATTTCATCATGGATTTGAGTATAAGTACCATGGATATGAGTATAAGTATCATGGATATGAGTATAAGTACCATGGTTATAAGTATAAGTACCATGTATATGAGAATAAGTACCATGGATATGAGTATAAGTATCCTGGATTTGAGTATAATTTATCATGGATATAATTATAAGTACCATGGATATGAGTATAAGTACCATTTTATATGAGTATAATTTATCATGGATATGAGCATACGTTTTATGCATATGAGTATAAGTATCATGGACTTGAATATAATTTATCATGGATATGAGTATAGGTACCATGGATATGAATATAATTTATCATCGATATGAGTGTAAGAATCATGGATTTTGAGTATAATTTATCATGGACATGAGTATAAGTACCATGGATATGAGTATAATGTATCATGGATATGAGTATAAGTATAATGGATTTGAGTATAATTTATCATGGATATAATAATAATTTATCATGTACAGGAGTATAAATACCATGTAAATGAGAATAAATTTCATGGATACGAGCAAAATTTATTATGAATATGAATATTATTTATCATGACTATGAGTATAATTTATCATTTGTTTGATTATAATTATCATGTGTATGATTATAATTAATCATGGATAGGAGTATAATTAACATGTATATCACCATAATATATGGTTAAATGATTATTACTATAATTGAAAACTGTTCACAGGACTTGTTTTCATGTCTTATCAAACAATTTGATCTCTTTCGTAAATCGTTAAGTCTTGTTTCGTATATATACCTTTTCTCTATGTTTTCTAGGGAAATAAATTATTTTTGTTAAAACTTATAAAGCTTATTGTCTTCACTGTGTTACATTGAACGAGCCAATACGTAATAATAATGGATATTCACAAAGTATTAATTTATGATGGATATATACAAAGTAGCAATTTATAATGCATATAAACAAAATATAAATGTATAAGACTGTCAGACTGATCCACTTAATCGGGTGTCAAGGAAGGTACATAACCATTTTGTATTGGTAATTAAATATCAGCGCTTTTACATTAGTGGTGGATTGCAGTTAAATTTGTAAAAGTGTGCTTCATGTCGCATATCTTCTAAATAAATGAATTTCATCCTGACATAGATATATTTGGCAGTTTATCAGTAATTTTCTAGATTTTGTATCATCAAAACATATTTAATTTTTAAGTAACAACATTTCTGTTTGGTGTGTGCGTGGGTGCGTGCGTGCGCGTATTTTATTGTGGCTAACGAGCATTTATTACAGCACTAAAAGGAGAGAGAGAGAGAGAGAGAGAGAGAGAGAGAGAGAGAGAGAGAGAGAGAGAGAGAGAGAGAGAGAGAGAGAGAGAGAGAGAGAGAGAGAGAGAGAAGAACACATACTATATTTCACGTGATGCTTGGGAGGTTAAAGCTTACATTTAATGACGTTCATTACAATTTATTCATACAAAATTATTCAATAATATTAAAGATAAACGTTTATCAAATTTCTTGTCATGAACATCGATATTTAAAAATAGAGAATTAAAACTATTTCGTTTTAACTGCGGTCTCTCTACTGTATGGTTAGGGAAATTAGGTGAACTATTCCGTTCTATATTTAAAATTCGAAACTTTTGTATATAAATAATAATATAGGCCAAGTCATCAAATACATAACATTAATGATAGATCGGGTTGGTTGGCTCTTTTATCCCACATCAACATAAGCAGGTTATTTAATGCTAAAGTAAATGGAGTAACGTGCCTGGCAAAAGGACATATTATTTTAGTTGGTATGGGTTGTTTCAATGGTAAGATACGAATTAGCAACCAGTCCCCTGCAGCTCATTAAAAGGTATCTGATTAGCGCTTACATGTTTTGACAAATATTTAATGACATCGATCAAAATTTCTATATAAACAATTATTCAAAAAAATTAAAAGGTTGATATTCATCAAGTTACTTGCAAATACCTTCTAAGATTAAAAATAAATGTTTTAAAAATTTTCTTTAGTTTCCACAGCAAAAAATATTGCTTTGTATGACTTGTCAGTTTTCATATAATATTGTGAGAATCCATCCATTAACTAAGTGTATGATAAAACAATATTGTAGGCATCGATTCATTAACTCTGTGTACGACTACACAGAAATAACCAAGCAGATGACTCGGAATATTTATTTGTTCGAGTCGAGAATCATTAGAATATAATCATCCTGAGTAGCAAAATTTAACATGCAATGAAAACAATGATTGGATTTATTTGGGTATTCAGTATAGATTTCTTGCCTTGTCGGCTCACTTCATCCATTGATTACGTGGGGAATATACAATCAATATTGTTCATAAAATGTGTAACGTTTCCGCTCCAGAACTACATAAGTCGAAGACAAGAAAACATAACAGAAACCATTTAGCATGTCGGTTACAAACAGCTTTCTTTTTGTATTTCAGGGAGATAAAGACTAAAATAATGGTCTGATGATTTGAATTTTAACCCATGCCCCTTCACCGATAACCATTTTGACAAGTAACAAAAAAAATTTAAACGAATCCTTTCTTCGGTCCAGAATGCACGCAATTGACTAATTATTGCTATTAAATAGTGTAAATGAAAATGTTTATGAAAATACGAAATAACCTGCTTTTTGCCAATAACTGTGAGAACAAAGATTTAGTCCGTATGTGTTTTAACTTCTCTTATTTTGTCCATGTACATCAAAAACAGTTTCATTTAATACATTTGTTTCTTCACAGCCTTAATATCCCAGAGTAACATATGTGTGTAAATGTATGAAGTCGTTGCTTGTTACTTACGGAATCAATTCAATGCCTAAATGTAGGTGTCTAGTCTTCTTTACGCTCTGGACGTATGGTGTATTTAGGTTTCCGGGAAAGGAAATAATTGTCTACAGTCTACGTTCTAAAGTATGGTGTGTTTTTTTCTCTTGAATGAAATCGATTCGGTGTCTACATTCTGCCGTACGCTAAAGGTGCATGGTGCATTTAGGTTTCCTGGTTTCTAAGTCTTCAATGCCGGTATGAATTATAATGTTAAACTTATTTCTCTCGTGAAATATAGAAACTCTTCAACAAATTTACAAAGCCATGAGGAAGAAATGGTTTTGACCACTATATAATTTGTTTTCAATGCCTTTTGGAAATAGGGGACCATTATTTCTATTGTCTGCTGTTTCTGTCATTGTATTGTCTAATCAGACGATGGACCCTACATAAGTACATAAACATCAAATCAAATAAAATTATGTCGCACTCACAATAGAAAAGAACATGCTGTCAAGGTTTCTATAATTGGAATTTTGGAAGGTTCCCAGTCCTAGATCACAGAAAATTAATTATGACTTCTTCCTTTCAATGTAGGGCTGCAGTTATGTCTGACAAAAATAAATAAAGGTATGGCTTAAACGACTCATTTCTGTGACGGATACAGTTTAGCTTTAAAGGTACAAGAACGTGTTCTTAATTATTACGGGTCATTTTTGTAGGAAAAAAAAATCCAATTAACTATACACATCGCATGAAAGTTGAATAAATATTAGATGATGTATAACCACCATGAAACTTGTAGCACACGAAATCTTGACATGAATTCTTTGTGAACGTAGCTTGTGCTGGTTGTGTTTAGGTACAATATTTCAGAATGACATTTTAAATCTACCATCGAAAGGATTTGCAGAAATACATTAAGAATGAATAATGATTCTTGAGTGTCTCCATTAACATCATAATATACAGTGGAAAATAAGCCGACGTCATAAACTGACGTCATGCCTGAAAGTCTTCGAGTCTAGAATCAGGTGATTTATCTTAATGTCTTTACTTAACGTTCATAAAACTACTAAATAATACTGTAGTCAAGAACTTGAAATGGTCGCAATACGTAATTGGTAAAAATCGTCTGATGATTGTAGTGCCTCAGTGGTCAAGATATCGTAACGGCCTTAGTACCAGTCGAAATAGAATGGCGTACAGCTGAATTCATTGGCAGCAACACCACCACCCCACCAAAAAAAAAGCAACAACCATATCAATAAAGCAACATACAAGGAAACTGAATAAGGTAAATTAGTGCGGAATTGTTGGAATCTTTATCGGATATCTTTTTGCTAACCTTCTGTTTGCAGAATATGCAGTTTCTACAAGTATTTCCATTATCGATTTTGCTAAACTCGATACATATGAATGAAAA